GATTTTTTTAGATCTCTTTTTTGTGTTGTAGTTGAGTTATTCGACCACCTGGTGTAAGTCTCACCACGAAACATGTTGTTGGATTTGATAGCTTTGAGAGTTTCTATGTTTAACAGTATGCTGTTGCAATGATCGTGGATGAACATCGCATCCAGAATGAACCCATCAATTGTCATATTTCTTATTGGTTTGTCTTTTCTCGATTAGGCAGTTCATTCCAGATTTGTTATTGAATTGTTACTGGTTGGTGTAGAATGCGCGATGTTTTCCACTGGAGTGCAAACCAGACACTTTAAAACACGTTCATTCGTTTATAATACAAATTCACATGTTTTTTTTGTTTTGTTTTTCTGTGAGGAACTATATTCACATTCACAAATTCACATGTTTTTGCATAATGAACACATTATTGGTCTAATCCATGTAATGCACGAAGGTCGCCATCATTCTGTATATATTTCCACTGGCAAAACAGTGGCCATGTAAACAGGTTGGTCATGTCCGAAAAAACTGTCCAGTTGGCATAAAGTGTCGTAAAATGATGTAAAAATATCCTGTTGCGTTGTCTGGGTAAAAACAAAAATAATAGAATATGTTTGCAACACTTGGTGCGCCGTAGCTGACAAAAGTTCAGACACCCGTCTACTTTTCATGTCTCTTATTAATAATCTCAAGCATACCGATCTTGTAATACACATGTATTCCAACAGAAATCACGAATTCATAATATACTCATCAAGCAGAATACAAAACCACTTAAAAAGTCGTAACTTAAAAAACATAAAACATTAATATAATTTATCACACCCATACTTCATGGAATGTCGATAACTGCCGTGGTCCTTTGAAACGTCGCAATATTTTTAACATTTTAATTTAAGTGTTTTACGCTCTCCAAATGAAACTCACTCAACTGTTCTTGATGAAACCAGACAACATTGTGGTATAATGGTTTTCCACAACAATTACTTCACGTCACGTGGTCTACTGTATTTGCTGATATTGCTATTTTCAGGCCTGAAATTTTTTTTTTTTTACGTTTTGCTGTTGATGAAGCTAGGTGGCTTAATACAATTAGAAAGAAGTGATTTCTATAATCAAAAATTGCTTTCAATGAACCACATTTTTAACGACCATAATACAAATACATGTAAACCATTTTTATATGAAGACATCACCGCAATATGTAACCTAATCGACCACGCACACACAAGATTGGTATACTAGTACCCATTTACATGATGTTCTGAATAATCAGAGGCTCACTTTACTCTGAAAGCTTTGTTTCATGCCATACCCGAAAAGTTTAAGCAAGTTATAAATGCTTACCTTACAAATATACGAACAGATTTTTCATGCCTGTCCAACTACAGCTTTGAACTACACGAGTCTGATATTTTGAAACAACCAATTTATAAACTTGAGAAAGGCGCCCCTGTAAGTATATTGCTAAAGTACAATGCTTTGCAAACTTTCCATATCGGCTTGACATGGTGTGGCAGGATATGCTGGACCTCCCGGGTGACATTAAGCCTAAATTCAAAGCGTGTATACGGCGCCCTCTACTGAAAATGAAGGAGATCTACAGTGGTTGGTGATACATGGAGCATATACAACTGGCATTTTTTTTTTATTCAACACTAACCACAGTGATGATCTACTCTACTGGCTAATGATATAATTTGATGGGTCTCAGCGATAAAAATACTACTGGCAGAACTACTAATCCAATCTGAAATTAGGCTTTCTGTATGTATGGGCCCAATATGATTGAAATAATTTGGCTTAATTTTTTAAATTTTATGTTAATATATTTTTAATTATTATTAATAATAATAATTATTATTATTATTATTACTATTAATTTTATTTATTATTATTATTCGTTTTAATATTTGCTCTTACAATAAATTTGCCGCACCGCTGGCTTTCATAAACAAACCAATTCTCACTGCAAAATAATTGTAACGTCAAAAAATAATTAAAATAAATAATAATTATATTACAAAAATAAGCCAACCAGGATCAGATTGGTATGGGCCAAGTGCCATAAAGTTTGAGAATCCTTCAACGATTGGTCACAATGTAAAACTTGAACTCGTGTAGTGCTATTCACAGCTCTAATTCACTCGTTATTTTCTAAAGCCATCAAGTTTGTTTGATATTTTTTTATACGTCAATTTATGTACTGCAAGCAATGCACACTGTGTAGACGGTACTGGAGATGCTTGAATTAATGGTTACGTGATTTGAAGCCCTTTCAATATGTATTTGCGACATATGCAGTGTTAATCACGAGGTAACATGTGAAAATAAAGAATTTCTAGAAACCAACAAAATATTTTCAAGTTAATAAAAGTCTAAACGTTAACTTAATTAATATGTTAATCATGTCTAATTCTAAGGTTTATTAATATTCAAATTTACACTGAAAGTCTCCAATTAATCAGAAAATAGTCCTTTAAAATTATGTGTTATAATTGTTAATTAATATTGATTTATCAGAAACACTGTCAAATTGGTCTTGATTAAATCTGAACGCGAAATAAAGCACATTTTCGATTTTTCACGTTTCTAACACGTGCTATTTTTAAAATGTTTACGACCATGGGCGCGTACACCATTATGTACAGTTATATAACGTTTATCTCATAATTTGGGTTGTACTTCAAACGTTTTTTTTTCTCTCTCTCTCATATGACGCTGTATAGTAATAAATAGTCTATTCAAAAATATACAACTAATATATATTTTCTAAATCTGTATTGATCAGCCGTAAATACCATACATAGGATAACATGATGTTTCAAGTGATTTTGACGGAAAGGTGGCTGGAAAATGTCTCTTTCATACAGCAACCATTGTCGACATACAATATTTTATTCTGAGGTTCCAAGAGCAACAAATAGTGTTAACGCCCTCTTTGGATGCAATAGAAAAATAATAGATACCGTAGATGGCGCTATAAAACATTTTTTTAACCCCAATACTCGATAAGTCGATGAATTGGATGTAGTAGTCGGCAAATTGGTTTACTAGTACCCCATGTTTCTAATGCATGATATATGTGGAATATTTGTACAAAAGAAATTGTATAAAATGTACTACTGTATTTGTTGGCGGAATCCAGGCTAGATGTTTGTTTGTAAACATGCATGTAGTGTATGGTCTATCAGCAATTTGAATATTTCGAGTGCATTATACCATTTACCCTATGATATATTGATTAAAATCTTCAGCTCAACAAGTCAACGTTACTCATTTGTTTTGATGTGTTCCCAACCCTTACTTGTGTAATTTGCATATTGATAGCCTCGTTCTCGTGGACATCAAAATGGCCGACTTAGAACGAACATAGAGTGTGTACAGATGTTTTTCAGTCTCATGGAAATTTTCCTCGGATCTCTGGATTTAATAACCTGATCATCACCTAGCTGTAGTAATTTAGTCTATGCATGGCCATCTAGAGCTCCGCTGCTCGGACTCTGGATATGTAGCGTGATTTTAAAATTAATATGGGCCAACCACAGTCGAAGGATAAGCGATCGGCTGCGGGATCATTTGGTAGTCAAAAGTCGGGAAAGGCCAGCAAGAACAAAGAACCTCCTCCGAGATCGGACCGCCCCTGTAATGTGTTTGCTGAACACCAAGGTACGTATCCATGTTGCATAGTTTACCCTATTTATCAGCCGTTAGCTCGTACCACAAAACAATTATTCGACGAGTTTTTGACGCTGTACTGGGCTTGTTCATAAACAGGAAATGACTTGAACACCCCGTACCCCGTGACACTTAATAAGCACTAATCTACACCAATGTTTTCCTGTCGCATATACTTTCACTGTTGTTGCAGCTTCCTCGTATTATTGATAACCGATTGTATTTCCTGATACAACAAAGTCTCGTATTTCAGGATATGTAGTTCATGTTTCCGTGTCTCACGTTCACGATATTTAATGATATTTAATGAATTCCCCTATCATGTGATATGAATGTATGGTGTCTGCCACTCCATATCATGGCAGCTATGGCTAATTCCACTTGCTTCACGTCTTGGACTTCCCGATATTCATCTGTTTTTATTATCCGCCTCCCCACTTTGTTTAAACAATCCCGTCGCCACATGTAGGACTCAGAATAGCTGCAGGCCGAAAGGCGACATACAATCACAGCGAGCTATCCGTGGAACGAACACCCGGCATGCTATAATTATGAATTACATAATCACATTGTACTTTCGATATAGAGGAATTACTGTCACTTTGCAACAGTCAGCATTGCAAAGGAGAACATGTGTCTGTCTTTTGTACCTTCACGGTGTGGTAGGCACAGAAGGAAAACGTTACATCTTGCTACCTTTCAGTGAGAGTGTCAGATAACCTCTCCTTGTTTACACAAGTTCTCTGACTTAAGAGGATATAGCATTGTGTGATGAGAGTTTCAATGCCACAAAACTTGCATCCAATTGGTGCTGGCAGTGCAGCTCTCAGAAATAAATAGGTGATGATAACAGTGACCCTTTCATCAAGTGTAGTGGCAAACAATCAGATCCATTCTGTGAGCTGTCAATGCCTGCTGATCAAAATTAAATAGGCCATTAAGTAAATATATTAGCCTTCCACTTCCCATTTAAATCAACACAATAATCCTTTTTAATATCATTACCGAAGGTCATTGTTGTAAAATTGATTTGATTTCCACCCAGTATGTAAGCTATGAATTTCCAACCAGATGAAACCTTTCAAAATTGGAAAATTCTATTATTGGAGAATGCTATTGTAGTTCCTCGTAGAAACATAAATTCTGTTATATTGGGTACTCAGGGGAGCTGTTCCTGAATTGTACAGGGGGATGTTATTAAGATCACATTGATAGTTGACCAGCCATAAATTTATTACCCTTTATTAGTTGATGGGAAAAATGATTATAATAAGTGTAGTGTAAAAATATGGTTGATTTGTGAGAGCTTTGTTTGGTTTTCAATGGTAGCATTTAAGTTTCGGGTATGTGGGTGGATTTGTGATTTGCATTTACCCATTGGTTCGTGTCCTACATGTACATATGTCTGGTTTATCACTATATATACATTGTTAAGAGTAGAATGGTGGAGAATAATATACTTTAGTTCTTCGCGCAGGCAATGTTTTTTGCAACTGTTACCTTGGAGTTTGGTTCATACGTTGTAAAACTAATATAAAAAGTACTGCTGATATAATGAATCTCGGTAGATCTGATTCCATCGTTTTTACGCTTATCCAGATCCTCCATGCATCAGTCAGATTAGCTTTATTTTCACGTTTCAAAGAATATATATACACTGTACATTATATCATAAATTTGTACACAAATAATTGATTATATTTCACTTCCTGTCAATTTTAGATGTATGTTTTAATAATTAATAAGTGAGGTTCTTGGAAACAGTGTTGTAAACTTTTCCGAAAAGGGAATTTTGAGAAAGAAAACATAGTCGGAGGATTTAAATAGCTGTATGTATATATATTTCTGAATTATTTGCAGGTCATGACCTATAAATATATCCACTATTCCCATCTATAGCATTGCAGATTGGCACCTATATCTATGACGTGTATTATTAATATTAATGCAAAATAGCAATTTTCGTAAATGTCTTCTCGCCAGTGAAAAGATTATAATTTTCATTCATAATTGAAATATGGTTTCATCTCAAGGAAAACTAGGTGGCTTCTCATATCCAATTTTCTGATTGAGTTTTTTGTCGTTGTTATTTATACATTAGTTTGATGAGATGTGAGGATGTCATATGTATGTATATCAATTTTGATTCTGTGATTGCTTCATGTCTTTCAGTTCAAAATAATGCCTTAGGTGATGATGTGGTAGATCAATTGATAACATAATTATGATTGGGTGAATCATTGCCACCTCCCCTGTCGCACAATGTTAAATGAACCGTCTCATAATTCAGTACCAACAATTTCGGTAAAACATTGTTTTGCACATTGATAAGTATTTAATTCTAATTTCTATTTTTTAAATTTTTGTCTAGATGGACACAATTTCCCATTTTCTACGGGCATCATATTTTTGAGTAAAAATATAGAAAAAAATTGAGTTGATGTATTCTGGGAGGAGTGACAACAATTGATCTTTTCTGCTAAGTTAAATAACTTAAAAAATACAATTTTATTTGGTATAATTGCATGATTTTGGTGATTTTGTATTTTTTAGTCTTGTAAAGATGTGAGATCTCGAATAATTTATGTTTAATATTATTGAACTTGAATGCTTCAACTGTAGCTAACTCTTTTAAGAGGTTTTCACTTAAAAAATAACTAAAAAAAATTGTCATCACACCTCTCCTGGCAGTAACATGCACTTTATAAAATGTCTTGCCTTGTATCAGGACCTACGTGGTTAATACAGTTAAAATAAAAAAGTATTTTTAAAAATTCTCAAAAATATCAAGATATCAGAGACACATATATTGCAATGATAAGAATATGTACATTTGCTGAATCTATGCATTTGACAGGTCACAGTTGTCTGGTGATACGAAGAAGCAATCCATTTTTTACTGTATAGGTCTTAATTGTACCGTGGCTGTTATTTTCAATTATTTTGCTGATTTCTGAATGCGCTAAATCAAAACCCAGTTAATATGCAAAGTTGACAATAGAATGCATTATTTTCTTCACAAATTAGTAATTCATTTAATATTTCTGCCTCTACAGTATTATTATTTCATTAACTTTGTTAACTTGGCAGATCCTATTATATTTGCCCATCTACTCAGACATGACAGTTAATTGTCTAGTTGCATACAATAGTATATATATCACTGCTGACTCGTATGGAAATTAGAATAGGCTGAATAATGGCCTTACCTTTAGGCCCTCGTATCATATCATTTTTCTTTACTTCCTTATATGGTCATGCCTTGTAGTAAGATGTCAGATATGGTGGAATCTATGTCGATTGCTTTCACTGGTGCATTATTACAGGAAAAAATTCTGTAAAATGAATTTTTTCATCTGAGGTCTACTTCTACTTTATTAGTATGTATTGCTGGATTTTTTGCGTCGCTTTATTTTTGCTTCTGTGTGACCCACAAGTCACAATTAAAATGTAGATAAGTTGTTCAGTTAGATTTTGTTGTTTTATTTTTATTTACTTCATCAAGAAAAAATACTGTTACTTAACCTATTAATTATTCACTTGGTTTTCATAGGTGATTTTCTGTTTACCTAGAGATATTGCGTAAAAGACGCAGACCGAAAGTCTGTCACAAAGATTGAACAATTTGATTTTGAATTAATTTTTCTTTTTTTATACCTCAATGTCGTAATGGCGATCCTTGAGAGGGGAATATGGCATTGAGATACCCTTACTTCATACATGTAGAAATTAATTATCATCAAATGTATATAGCACAATATTTTCGCGTTTGACGAACCCCACATGATGTTCAGAAGCTACTACAACGCTTTGACCTTTGTTTGTCCTGTTTTATCGTTCGATTTCACGCATAACGTGGGATCTTGCAGTGCGCGGAAAATGGTCTAGTTTGCTATTTCCAGTGATACACTTGCAAGTTCGATTTGTTCAATGAAATATATGTGAACATGTAGTATTATAGTTCCTTTGAACTCATTGTTTCACAAGGTACATCCGTGAATTTAAAATTAATATTAATATAAATGTTTCTACAGTTTTGAAAATAGATTTCCTATGAAAAAAAAGCATACATGTATTGCATTTTTTCTATTACATGTATAAGCATATCTCTAATAAAGGCTCATTTGAGCTGAAAACTTCTTTACATTCCGAACAGCTTATGTACATATTAGGTGTGTGCACTTCTATTACACTATATAGAATGAATTCAGTACTTTATCATGACTTTTTATATTCACCAATTACCTTCTCCTTATTTTAGTGAGTCAGTATACTAGTAATTTATCTACGCGAGCAAAATGTGGTATTCTCTCCTCATGCCAAAGACTCCTATTCTCTGACACAGTTATCTTAATCATATTGCATCCAGTTATGTAAATTTCTATGTCTATAATCAAAATATTAAGTCATATTTTTTTAGTATCCACTATAAAATCAATGTTATTTTTAGTTTGATAGTGCTTTTATTGGAGATGTGCTTTTAATAAAACAAATAAGTAAATATGCTAGAGCTTCTGTGTGATTCATTAAATCTACTGCTGAACCGCTGGATTTCAACTATACTTTGAATAACTCAATGTAGGTGTAGATTCTCACTAATTACTGCAAAGCCTTAGCAGAGATTAAATTGAATTCCTCAGTGGTGTGATCAATGTGGGTTTGCAGTTCGTCTTGTCTGTATACTGACAACCAAATTAAACTCACTGTCCTACAGCTACATTTCGGTTGTGCGCGCGCGCGCGCGTGTGTGTTTGTATCTAATTGTCATTGATCACTGTAGGTTTCATTGTCGGTTGAAAGTAAGCTTGTTGGCGCCTCATTTCAACTTCATACTCACTTCAGTTGACCTGAAAACGTTGTACATGTGTATTCTGTTCATCAAGATTTATTATGATAGCTTCTGGAACCAGGAAGTAAAGCCACGCTCTAGGAAGCAAACACTATGGCTTTGGTATTTTTATTACAATATACAGTCTTGAGTCAAAGAATCC